GTAATAAGAATTCCCCCGCAGAGCATTCATGAAGCAGGAATGTAATTGACTTGCTGAGCTGTTTAAACAGCACGGGAGGGCAGCACAAGGCCAGAACTCTCGGCCCCAATCTGGCAAATATTCCAGACCATAACCAAACTTACAGCCTACATTTCTAAATGCACACAGAAGAGTTTTAAACCCCACCAAATTTAACTGAACTGTAAATCTGTATAAACTCTACCTATTGAACGTTTTCAGATCATTTTCATACATTACTCACATAATAATTTGAATTTAATGTTAATGTAGTTTATCATAGCAGAGGGTGTTTTAATACTTGTCTGCACGGTTAAAGTAAGTATTATAACCTTTAACAAGTGAGTAAGTAGAAATGAAGGAAAGAGGTGGAGACTTCCCTGGTGGTCCAGTGGCTAAAACTCTGCACTCGCATTGCTGGGGGCCCGGAGTTTAATCCCTAGTCTGGGAACTGGATCCCACATACCACAACTGAGAGTTTGCATGTTGCAACTGAAGATCTGGTGTGTAGCAACAAAGATCAGAGATCCCACATGCAGCATTTAAGACCTGGCCCAGCCAAATAAGTAAATAAATACATATTTTTAAAAAGATAAAAGGTAATTTGTCTCTGGTCACATGCAATTGGTGCAAAAATAATCCAAGCCTGATCCTATTCCACTACTCTTCAGAAAGACACACCCCCATCCCTCTAAACACATATAGACATATACACTGCCTCCATGACACATTCACCTTGACTTCAGATATAAATATATGGCTTTCTTTTTCCTCAGGATTGCTTTGGTAATTCTGGGTCTTTTATGGTTTCATGTAAATTTTAAAATTATTTGTTCTAGTTCTGTGAAAAATGTCATGGATAACTTGATAGGGAATCATACTTAAATCTGCAGAATGCTTTGGATAGTATGGCCATTCTTAACAATATTAATTCTTTCAATCCAAGAGCATGAGACACTGGAGCAGTTAATTTTAATGAAACTGCTTTCAATTGGAATCAAATGTCCTCAATGAACTATATGTCCAAGGAGAAAGCACATGTCCCAGGGTTAAAGGTTCTAAAGCAGCACTGTCTGGCAAAAATATGAGAAACGTGCAATTTTAAATTTTCAAGTAGCTATATTTTCAAAAAGTAAAGTAAAAAGAAACAGGTGAAATATTTCAACATATAATCAATATAAAAACTATTAATGAGATATTCAACATTATTTTTTCATACTAAGTCTTTGAAATTTGGAGTGTATCTTACACTTACATCACATCTCAATTTGGATTGGTACATTTAAAGGCTCAAGAGTGGAACTTCCCTGGTGGTCTAGTAGTTAAGACTTCACTTTCCAATACAGCAGGTGCAGGTTTGATCCCTGGTTGGAGAGGTAAGATCCCACATGCCTTGAAGCCAAAAAACCAGAACATAAACAACAGAAGCAATATTATAACAAATTCAATAAAGGCTTAAAAAATGGTCCACATTAAAAAAAAATCTTAAAAAATACTCAAGAGCCTCACATAGACAAAACAGACAATATAGCTCTAAAAGATTACTGTGATGTTGAGAACACCAGAGGAGATTTAATTGTGCTGGTATTTTTCATTAGCCTAGTAACTTTTATGGTCCTCAGGTAACAAAACTGCATAGGTTTTGAGTGGTCTGTTCCTAAGCTTGTATTTTCTCTAAGTTCTGTTATTTCTAGTGCGCTGTTTTTAAAAAATACTTGTCTTTTTCTGTATATACATATTTTCCTACCCTTCCTCCCAGCTAGAGATAGTCCTATGACAGTTCTGAGCAAGGAGATGTGAGGGGAAGTCTGTTATCATATGGGAAAGATTTTCCACCCTGATAAGAAAGGAGGACACAAAGAGAAAGCATTTTTCTCTTTTTTTCCTCCTTCTATCCCTTCCTTTCTCTTTGAACATTTCACCTGAGAACATGATGTTTGGTGCTATGGCTCCATCCTGAGACTGACAGAAGACTGCTAATTTGAGGATGGCAGAACAGAAAGGAGATGTACATGCAATCAAGAAGCCAGCTGGGCAAAGATGAGGATGGTAGAGAGCCTAGGGTGGAGTTCTCTAGCTGTTGCCAGAGTATTGTAGCACAGAAGATGTCCTTAATGGGCACTGCCCCTTCACAACCAAAGTTCACCCTTTTTTCTCACATATGCCCCCACCCCCTTGCTAATGATTCCCTTCCATCTGACTGCAATATTCTTTCTTCAGGTGTGACAAGTGTGCTAGAATTACTCCCAACACTTGAAAGAGTGCAGGGCTAGAAGCAGCACAGTTCTCCTGCAGTCCCTTGTTCATCAATAAAGATTCATGCACAAACACTGCAATTTGGCTGTAACATGTTTAATACTTTTAAAATCTTAAAAATTATCTGTCATGAAAAAAGTTCTATCACTCAGTTAATAAGTAAGATTGAAAGTGAAAGTCACTCAGTTGTGTCCGACTCTTTGTGGCCCCATGGACTATACAGTTCATGGAATTCTCCAGGCCAGAATACTGGAGTGGGTAGCTGTTCCCTTCTCCAGGGGATCTTCCCAATCCAGGAATCGAACCCCGGTCTCTCGCATTGCAGGTGGATTCCTTACCAGCTGAGTCACGAGGGAAGCAGTAAGTAAGATTATAGTGTATTGATTCAACAAATTTGGGGTAATTGGGAATGCATAGAAGATTCCTTGTTCAGCAGTTCCTTATGTTTGGGTCACAATAATTCAAGAACCCATGTTTACATAAATATGCGACTACAAAAGGCAGCAGTTTTTTCACTGCTTTACAATCTCAGGGTAATTACAGAAGAGCATGCTCAGAATGCTGCTAAATAAATAATATGGATAGCAATTTTTTTTTCATAGATAACGTTTTTAGCTACTGATTGTGGAAATTCTGGAAGTCTATTTCCTGAGTTGCATGACAGACTGAATGGGAAACCAATTCACTGGTGAGTTTCTTTTACTCATTAAAAGATTTTTTTTCAGTGAACAAAGATAAAAGTTTTATTTGACCAGTTACTGGTCTTACACTAACGTTTTCATCACATGTAAATGAACCAGTAGTCTCAAAGGATTGGTAGCTCTGTATCAACTCTTCATCCAATTTCCATTAGCACCATCTCATCATGTGCAATAAAAGCATTCAGTTTCTTTTACAGTTGTTGACTGCCTTGACAAAGTAAGCCGTGTTTATGAGTCAGTCTTAATCACCTTAATAAGTGAACAAAGAATCAATTCAGCTTATCTACATTTCTTTTCCTTCACCAAAAAAAAAGTCAATTCAATCCTGCTTAGAAAACTGGCTATCACCTTACCTCAACCAAATGAGTGCAACCCTAGATAATGGAGCAGGACTTTAAGTTCCTTCTCACTTTGGTACCAACTGTTGCCTTAAAAGTAAGTATCCAAATCGCTACATTTACTACACTTTACTATCATATCAAACATAATTTTAAAAAATTAAAAATCTAGAGGTTAATTTTTTAACGTTAAGGCACTCTGAGAACCATGCTGGAAGTGCCCAGAGCCTTCAAAATTTGGCCTCATTTGCACACATGTACATACTTTTCCCTTACTTAATTTCATGCGACCTAAAAATCTCATCTTCTTTTTGCAGAAAGTTTCTTCTATTACAAATTAAAGTCTTCAAATTCATTATTTGAAACCTAACAAATAGCCCAATAAAACGTTCAAATTGTAAACATCAAACTCAAAGATACAGATGCTATTATCCAACTCCAAGATACAGATCTAGGTTTAGCTGAATCTACCAGCAACTGAAGGCCGTTTAGAGCACATTAAAATGCATCATTAGAAACTCTTCCATTAAAAATACCTTAAAAAAAATTAACTTGCCTTGTTTTCAAACGGATCTAATCATGTCTATAATATAACCAAAGTTTCACCAGATCTTCTCATCTTGTAAATATCATAGCCTTCTAAGCCATTTGAAACTGATTTTGAAGGGAACTTAAAGCCATTTTAAAAAAAATTGCTTGTTGGTTGGTGCTTTTTCCGGCTATTGCTTCTCGAGTCACCACTGTTTTTAGTTTCAAAATTTGCATGGCCGCCTTCTTGACTCTGCTGCAAGAGACATTCTTAACCAAGGAGGTATTGCTCGAAATTTAAGTAAGATGGGCTTGAGCGTTAGGGTTATTTGCATCTTTTCCATTACAGAGTCCATATTTTTAACAAATACCTAAATTCCACCTCCGCTTTGGGGCTTAAGAGTTGCTGCTTACCACTTCTTAGTTATGGTTAAGAGTGGCGCTATCACCTTCATTACCTTCCGTAGGACAGATCTGACAAGACAACGGTTTCTGGGTGTTCAAGAGCTTTCATTACCCCTCGTATTTTCCCTGGTTTCAGGCTTACACTTAACCTGTCCTGGTATCAACCTCCCATCCGTGTCCCCGGCTGACAACTACAGCCCAGGGCATGTCCTTACACGCCGGGCTCTTGAGGCGGGACCCAGCGGCCGTCCGAGGTAGTAAACAAAGCCTAGCGCAGGCGCAGTGGCGACAGGCGGGTAAGCTGGTTTGCTAGGAGCCAATGGGATTTTTTGAACAGTAAAAAGTGGAAAAACAACAAGAATCTCTACACCGCTCTAAGCTGATAGAGTGGTTGGCTTCTTCTGTTTTTACATACTTCTGACTTTTGTTTCTGAGGAACTTGTGGGACCTTCGAGACCTCGCAAGAAGCCCTTCCTAGAAGGGAAAACAGCCGCTGGCGTGTTGCCTACTTCTAGCCTCGTTTGTTCTCGCCGTGGAGTCCTGATATTTTTAATTTGATTACAGCATTAAATCACCGCACCTGGTGGAGGGGAGGTGGGGGAAAAGCCTCACAACACCATAAGAAAAAACTCTACTCGCCCGTCTGGCTCAAACATCGCGAGATCTGCCTGAGCGAACAGCACCACCCCCCTCCCCCAACTCTGTGCGGTTGCGCATGCGCCTGGCTTTTTTTTTTTTTTTTTTTTTAAAGCGCGAAAACATTTCGAAACTTTTTGGTGGATAGCAGTCAAGCTAGTTTGACCCTCGAGAAAGGTCGGAGGATAATTCACTTTGACGCGATGGATTCAAGCACACAACACTACATTCTTCGAGATTTTGCAGTCATTACTGCACACGCTTGTATGGTCGTCCCTCCTTTCCGTTACTGTGTGTCTGCCGTGAATTCTCTGAGGAGAATTCAGCGAATCGAGTAGTAAAGGAGTGGACGTAGGAGAGCCGTTCAGGCTTTAAAAACAGCAAAGTGATGGGCTTTATGTGTTTGGAAAGATAACCCTGGGAGCGACAGAAGGAATAAATCTTTAAGGACCGTGAAAAAAAATTTTTTTTTTCTGGAGACCAAGAGGGATTGTGAAGTCAGGTAATGCAGAGAGAAGGAGAAGATGGGAAAATAGAAGCGGTGAAGGAAGGCAATAACTACACAGCCCAGTGGAGAGGGGAAAGTAGGAAAACAGGGCTCTTGGTAGTAGAATAGTGTTCCCCAACACTGCTTTTTTTTTTTTTCCACCAGGGACCAGTTTTGTGGAAGACAGTTATTCCGTGGTGGGTGGGAGACAGGGAATGGTTTCAGGATGAGTCAGACTCATTACATTTATTGTGAACTTTATTTCTATCATGATGGTATCAGCTCCACCTGAGATCATCAGGCATTAGAGCCTGAAGGTTGGGAACTCCTGCAGTAGAGAACGTTTCCCATCAGATAGTGTGAAGATGTTCGTGTTTGTAAACAGAAAGACAGAAATGCCCCCCACATTTAGTTCCTCTTGAGTAGGGTGGAAATTGGGGAGTCCCTAAGTGAGTGGGACGAGGAGGATTCTAAAAGCCAGAGTCCTGAGCAAGGACTGAGGTTGGGATGGGGAAGTAGAGGAGTCAGGAATTCTGGAAGCATCTTGGGAGGACTAACCTGACCTCTTTCTCTCTCAGGATACATGGGACACCTGCACGAGCATTCAGTTTCTTCCTGCAGTGTCTGAGAGGTACTACCCACACCTGAAGTGTCCTCGTCCTGTGGGTCCCTTCAGCCACACCTCAGGCAGGATGCAGTGTGGATTTCATGGAGTGGAATGGTGGAACTGAGCTATCAAGACACCAGCTTGTTACAAAAGTACATACTTTCTGCTTTTAGCCTCCCAGAGTCACTTGGTATGAGAGTCCATCTTGATATTAGCAGCAATCTCTAGTCAACTTTTGATTTTTTATGTACTGTCTGGAGTACAAGGCAAAGGAACAATGCAATTTTAGTCGACCAGCAAAGGAATTGCTTGTAGGTAAGCAATATAGCTTCATCTGTAAGAAAAACTCAATATAGAAAGCCACAGGATTTAAGTTAGCAGTGAGGGAGAAGGATCCAGGTATCAGTCAATAGAATCGAAATGCTTCATTAAGAAAGGTCCAGTCCTGGTAGTCCCCTATCAAGAAGTTCTCCCTAGAGCAGTTCACTTCATTTTGGCAGCCTACAGTATAGCCTAGGAAATGGCAACCCACTCCAGTATTCTTGCCTGGAGAATTCCATGGACAAAGATGCCTAGCAGGCTACTGTCCATGGGGTGACAAAGAGTTAGACATGACTGTGAAATTAACACTAGTATAACCTAGTAACTGGGCCACATGTGTGTCATTCATGAAACTGTTCCAGAAAAAAAAAAAAATCCATGCGTGCAGTAGAGTAGGGTTTCTGCATTGATGCCTTCGTATTTTGGTTTTAGGGAGTGGGATCATCCAACTGTAAGAGGAGTGATCTCTCAGTATGGTGTCACAGAAAGGTATAGAATTGAGAATCAGACCTGGAGTTTGATGCTAAGGTATGACAGTCTTGCTGTGTGACCTCTCTGAGCCTCGGTTTTCCTGTGTGTCAGATAAGAACAGTAGTGTCTTCTTCATAGGATGACTATAAAGATGAAACAAAATACTGTTGACAACTGCATGAGTTACTAGCATAACTTATAGTGTATGTTTAATAAGAGTTTCTGCCTTGAGCTTCCCACCATTTTTACCTGCCATCTCCTCACCAAAATGTGCATACTCAATGTAACATCTGTATTCAGAGAACCTTAGGCTAGATTCTTTACCTTGCCTGCACATTAGCATCATCTGGGGAGCTTTAGAAAGTCCTAGTGCTCAGGCTTTATCTGTGACAATTCAATCAGAATCTCAGGAAGTGGAACCCACATATTAGTATTTTTTTAAAGCTCCTCATTTTACTGCCAAGGTGGAGAATCACTGCTCTGACTACACAAGTGGTGCTGTCGGTACTTTCAAATGAGAATAGTGAGAATCAAGTGTGTTTTTGTAGCCTTACAGTGAGTAGACAATCACTTGTACTGGGAGGGATGGCAAGGTGTGGGTCAGGAATTTGAATTTCTAAGAGAAAGGGTACTTTCTTGTAGGTTTCTAGGGATATAAGTAATTCAGAAGTTGAAACCACCATACTACTTCTGTTATTGATGCCAGGATATTGTGGTTATTGGCAGGCTCGGCAGTGGAGAGTTCATGGAATTAAAAAAAAATACACACTAAGATGTCAGTCATTTCCTCTGTCAATTGCTTCCTCGCTTTCCTTGTCCTTCCTCTTTATAAAATTTGCTAGTTCTGTTAGAGAGTGTTGAGGGAGAAGTACAAGAACTCTGCTCCATCCCAGTGCCTCCAGCTGATTTGATCCACTTTATATCTGACTTTGTTGTTGTTATTTAGTCACTCAGTCATGTCTGACTCTTTGCAACCCAATGAGTTAAAGCAAGCCAGGCTTCCCTGTACTTCACTGTCTCCTGGAGTTTGCTTAAACTCATATCCATTGAGTCAGTGATGCCATCCAACCATCTCATCCTCCATCGCCTTCTTCTTCCCTTTGTCTTTCCTAGCATCAGGGTCTTTTTCCAATGAGTCGCCTCTTTGCATCAGGTGGCCAAAGTATTGGAGCTTCAGCATCAGTCCTTCCAATGGATATTCAGGGTTGATTTCCTTTAGGATTGACTAGTTTGATCTCCTTGGTGTCCTTGAGCTGAGTCAAACTTACTGCCTCCTAAGAATTTGGATCAGAATATTGAGAGACTGGGTTATATGTTTTCTCCCCAGCTTTATGGAAGAGTGACTGACAAATAAAAGTTGTATATCTTTAAGTTATACAATGTGATGTGATATATGTACATTGTGATGTACCTTGTGGTGACCACAGTCAAGCTAAATAATACCCCATCTCACATAGTTGCCATTTTTGTATTTGTGGTGAGAACAGTTGAAATCTCTCTCAGTAAATTTCAAGTATATACTGTTACTAACTATAGTCAACATGCTGTATGTATATAAGATCTCGAAAACTTGTTTACCTTATAATTGAAACTTTGTACCCTTGACTAGTATCTCTCCCTGTAGTGAAATCCGGAAGCCCTGGTAACCACTATTCTACTCACTGTTACTATGAATTTAACTTTTTTAGATTCCACATATGAATGAGATCATGCAGTATCTGTCTTCCTGTGTCTGGCTTATTTCACTTAATGTAAGATTCATCCATGTTGTCACAAATGGCAGGATTTTCTTTTTTAAGGTTGAATAATACTCCAGTGTGTGTGGGTGTGTGTGTGTGGGGGGGTATTTGTGTATCACATTTTCTTTACTCATTCATCTGTCAACAGACACATTGTTTCCACATATCTTGGCTATTGTGAATGATATGTCCATGAACATGGGAATGCAGACATCTCTTCTAGACAGTGATTTTATTTCCTTTAGGTATATACCCAGAAGTGGACTTTCCAGGTGTCTAAAATCAAGATTGCCAGGAGAAATATCAATAACCTCACATATGCAGATGACACCACCCTTATGGCAGAAATTGAAGAGGAACTAAAAAGCCTCTTGATGAAAGTGAAAGAAGAAGTGAAAAAGTTGGCTTAAAGCTCAACATTCAGAAAACTAAGATCATGGCATCTGGTCCCATCATTTCATGGCAAATAGATGGGGAAACAGTGTCAGGCTTTATTTTTCTGGGCTCCAAAATCACTGCAGATGGTGATTGCAGCCATGAAATTAAAAGATGCTGACTCCTTGGAAGGAAAGTTATGACCAACCTAGATAGCATATTTAAAAGCAGAGACAATACTTTGCTAACAAAGGTCTGTCTAGTCAAGGCTATGGTGACTGAACTGAACTGAGTGGTAAAGAATCTGCCTGCCAACACAGGAGACATGGGTTTGATCCTGGGGTTGGGAAGATCCTCTGGAGGAGGGCATGGCAGCCCACTCCAGTATTCTTGCCTGGAAAATTCCATGGACAAATGAGCCTGGGGGGTTCTAGTTCATGGGGCTGCAAAGAGTCAGACATGACTGAGCAACTAGACAACAACAGTATACCCAGAAATAGGCTTGCTGCATCATATTGTAATTCAGTTTTAATTGAGACTGATTCCTTTAGATAGAAGCATTGAATTTGTAAGGTCATGTAACTTGCAGAGAGCTGAGGCCACCATTTGTGCATTAGTAATTGGAACAAGCTGATTGCAAAAGAGAAGCAGGTGAATGCTGTTAATTAAGAGAGAGAAAATGGGAGAGAATAGGTCTTGTAGCCTCAAGAGAGAAAGAGATGGAGTCAGTGGCTATCTCAGCTCTGACAGCTTTGTGTCCCTTACTTTAGTCCCATCTTTGGTGTCACTACCACTTCCTGTTCTTGAGTTCCCTGCAGTTCTTCAGAGTCTTTATAATAAATCCACCTCCACCCCAGTGGTTTTCTTATTTCCCCTTAGATAGCTCTCTAATGTGGCTAGTTGTGTTCTCCCTTTCCTCCTGCTCTTGGATTAATAAAACCATAATTTTCCACAACAGGAACACACATAAATACAGCAGGGACACTTATTTAACTCACTACTGCTCATATATGCCAAGAAAAAGTAGTTCTCTTCATTGTTTTCTAGAGTTTTCATGTGGTTATGTTCTATATTATTGCATAACCAAATTCCCCCAAACTTAGGAATTTAATAATAAGCATTATCTTATCATTTTTGTGGGTGAGGAATTTGGGAGCAGCTTAACCAGGTAGTTCTGGCCTGGGATCTCACAGAGTTGCAGTCAGGATATTGTCTGTGACTTCCTTAGTGGTGCAGTGGATAAGAATCCACCTGCCAATGCAGGGGACATGAGTTCAATCCCTGGTCCAGGAAGATTCCACAACGTAGAGTGCATGCGTGCTTAGTCACTTCAGTCATGTCTGACTCTCTGTGACCTCATGGACCATGGCCAGCCAGGCTCCTCTGTCCATGGGATTTTCCAGGCAAGGATACTGGAGTGGGTTGCCCTTTCCTTCTCCAGTGAGAAAGTATGAAGTGAGTGAAGTGAAGTCACTCAGTCGTGTCTGACTCTTTGTGACCCCATGGACTGCAGCCTACCAGGCTCCTCCATCCGTGGAATTCTCCAGGCAAGAATACTGGAGTGGGTTGCCATTTCCTTCTCCACCGCAACGTAGACAGAGTAAGCCTATATGCCGTTAACTACTGAAGTTCGCACACCCTAGAGCGTGTGCTCTGCATAAGAGAAGCCATTGCAATGAGAAGCCTTTGCACTACAGCTGGAAATTAGCCCTCCCTTGCGGCAACTAGGGAAAGCCCATGTGCAGCAGTGAAGACCCAGCAGAACAGCAACAACAAAAGATGTCGTCTGGACTGCAGTTGCTTGACTAGGGCTGGAGGATCTGATATGGGGTGGCTCCCTGTCCTGTTGCTCGTTGGCACTGGTTGGTGAGAGGCCTCAGTTTTCCATGCGTGGACCTCTTTACAGTACAGCATTAGTGTCCTTATGACATGGTGGCTGGCTTCCCCAAGAATGAGTCATCCAAGAGGGAGCGAGCCAGGCAGAAACTGTCCTTGCGATGATCTAGCCACAGAAATTACAGAGAATCACTTCTACCACATCATTTTAACTGGAAACAGGTTGTAAGGATGGCCCATGTTCAAGAGAAATATTATTAGATGTCACCATTTGAAGGGAGGCATATCAAAGAATTTGTGGACATATTTTAAAGTCATCCCAACTGTTCGATTACAGAAAAACCAACTAAGTGTCCAGTTCAGTGTCAAATATAGTTCATTCAATTTCATTATTTAAGTGGTTCCTTTAAGTAGCATAAGTCTCCTCTGGATAAAAATGTGTCCTGTTTCATAATGTTTCCCAAGGAGGTCCTGACATCTTCTCTGATGATAACATCCATGTGTATGAAGGGTGGGGAAGGGTAATAGATGCATCCTTGTGGACTTGTGAGTAGGGGGGGTATTCCCTGGCTTCGTTCTGGACCTAGTGTATGCACTGGCAGGGTCTTTGCATGATGCCCCTTGCTGGCCTGATCACTGGGGAACCTGCTGGCCTGTGATGCTGAAGCCTGGATCTCATGAATTCATGGCCCATTTTTGGCTTCAGGCAAATCTCCCAGGGAGGAACAGCCTCTCCCCTTTAGGGACTCTGCTTCTCCTTGGCTCTTGCTATTGAGTCACCTCACCTGCAGGTGACAGCAGGTCCCGTGGCTGTTAGTTTAGCATCTATGCTTCAAAGGAACAGGAAACTCTTGGGATGGTCACCTGCTCTGTATGCCTGTGTACGCTGTAGAAAATTTGCCATTGGCCCAAATGGCCATGCAAAGTTCAGAATGAGGTGTGAGGGGCCTTGGCAGCTGTCTCCAGAGGGGAGCAAAAGCAGAGATCTCTTGCCCTGAGTGCTCCTCTCAACCTGGAGGTAACTTACTGTGGTAGGCAGAGTTAGGACACCTCTAGATATTCACCCTAATACTCAGACCCTGTGAATATGTTACCTTCCAGGGTAAA